TTCTCTCTCTCTCTCTCTCTCTATATATATATATATATATATATATATATATATATATATATATATATATGAGGTAGGATCTTTTGACACCAGTGTCAAATTTAAAATTCTCACCTCATTTGAGAGTCATTAGATCATCAACAAAGATCAACAACTTTGATTTGTAAGCATGTGACCTCATTGATCTTTATTGATCTAATAGCTTTCAGATGAGGTGTCAAACTTCAAATTTGACACTGTTGTCAAAGAAACCTATATATATATATATATATATATATATATATATATATATATGGGAAGGGTTATATTTACAAATTTTTTATTTACAAAGTACATTATGTACTCTCAAAAGTACATTCAATTACACTATGTACTTCCAGGAGTAGATAATGTAATTTGTAAAAAACAAAAGTATAAACGAATCTTTCTCATATATATATATATATATATATATATATATATATATATATATATATATATATATAGAGGTAGGATCCTTTGACACCAGTGTCAAATTTTAAATTTGACACCAGTGTCAAATTTTAAATTTGACACCTTATCTGACAGTCGTTAGATAAAAAAAGATCAATGGTTTTATATGCTTACAAATCAAAGTCGTTATTGATCTTTTTTTATCTAACGGCTCTAAGATGAGGTGTCAAATTTCAAATTTGACACTGACACTGGTGTCAAAGGATCCTGCCCAATATATATATATATATATATATATGTATATATATATGGGGAAAATTATTTCTTCGGCAACTTGAGATAAGTTTATCTCCGGCCACCTCAAAACTACGTCATTTTGTTTATTTATTTTCTTATATTAATTGATTCACCTTTGAATAGTTATGATTTCCTTTTTCTTTCTCTTTCTTTATCACCGTTGATCCATCTTTGTTCGGTTATGATTTAGTAGCCGGAGATAAAATTATCTCAAGCAGCTTGAGAAACGATAAACCCTATATATATATATATATATATATATATATATATATATATATATGATTAGGATAATTTTACACCGGTTATAATTTAGGAAGTCATACAAATTAATTAATTTGTTCTGCCTGCAGCTTGCTGGTTAATGTTGGATCTAATGCTTTCTCTAGATACCTATGAATTGGGTATCTTTGGGACAGTGAATCACGACACATAATATACTGCCTTTAGCCAAGAGGGGGTGGGTGTGTGTGCTGTGTGATTGCATAAAATAGAGTTAAGAAAGATCAGTCATATTTGTGGTCTTTATCTCCTATTTATAGAGTTTACCTTTAGGCTTATGTCGTCCGGGCCTTTATGGATATGAGCCCTACTCAGGTCCATAACATAATCATTAATTACATTACAAATATCAGCTGATGATTTCTGTCCATCAACGGCAGAGACATGGAGTAAGACTTATTAGTCTTACACTGGTGTAAAAAGAACCTCCTCATACATATATATATATATATGGCCGGGTTATATATATATATATATATGGCCGGGTTATATTGACAAAAAAAATTCTTACAAACTACACTAAGTCTGACTAGTCAGACTTCAATCAAGAGTGTATGACTAATCAGACTTAGTGTAGTTTGTAAGAAAAAAAAGTTTGTCAATATAATCTTCCTCATATATATATATATATATATATATATATATATATATATATATATATATATATATATATAATTTCATACAGACAATAGAGAATGAGAATTATAAATAATAAAAATCTATATAGGTTTAGGATTCTTAAAGCTATTTCAATTTTAAAAAAATCTACAAAACATTTGCTTATGTTATAATATATAATAAAGCACTTGTAGGAGAAAAATATGCACTTATAAAAATGCCTCTACGATATATATAAGCTAAATGTTTGAAAGAGGAAAAGCGATTGCTCGTTATATATTATTATTTTTATTTCTCCACTTCTCCACCAATTCGTTAAAAATTTGATTAATCCGATTCCGAGTCTGTGGAACTATATTATATTTTCACAATTCGTCTGTAATAGGATAAAAGAAATTTCAGTTTAAGATTGGAGAACCATGTATTAAGAGCATGATTTGATGTCTTATCTCTCGATGTCTTAATCTTTTTACAATACTAAAACATTAAAACCCCTCTCTCCTGTGCTGAGAAAAATCCTTCGATTAATAAAATACGTTGAGACGAATAATCATATTGCAACCGACTTGATCAACCAAGAACCGTGCTGGTAGATGCCCCTGACAAAGAAACATTTTTGCAATCAAACCCATTATACTTTGAGAATTAGTCAAAGTAAACTCTTGTTATTATGGTAAAATATCAGAATTATTAAATAACAGAATGGTATTTGGTATGTGAAAAGGAATTCATATACTTTCAGTATTGCTAAAAGAACAATGGGTCAAAGAAGTGTTATATTGAATAAATATAATATTAATCGATTTGATAATAAACTAATTAAAATATGAGAGATTTTTTTTAATAGATTTACATAGCGTCAAGGGTACAAATAATCAATCTCATGCAAAAATATGCCCTTATTTTAGTTGGAAAAAAAATGAAAAATGAGAAAATACGATTTAAGGATAAAGTTGATTTTAATTTGTAATGGATTATTCTTAGAGAGATATAAAATCATTAATGTAGCATCACCTAAAATTGTGAATTGACGATTTACATGGTATCAGAGCCTTGATGTTTTAATCCTCACCGGCCCCAATTTAATTAATAATTAATTAAGTATTGTGGAGTTCCTTAGCACAGATAGATGGACATGTGCATTGTCTACCTTTCACGCCCAATGAGCTCTCATGTGAGGGCATCACTAATGTAGCCTTACCCAACAGTTTAAATATTTTGGATGAATTGATTATTTACATGGTATAAGCTGGAGTGACCAAATGACGAGTTCGACTCTCATCGCCGTCCACTTTGTGATGAAATTAAGTAAGATAAATTAAAAATGGACATGTGCAGCACGTTAGACAAAAAAAAAAAGTTTGTGTAATATTCACGTTTAAACCAAAAGAACTCTTACATGAAAGGATGTATTACAGAAATATAAAATCATTAATATAATTTCATCTAAAAAACTTAAAATTTTAGGTTGAATTAATTCTTTACAATTATAACAACCACAATGACAAAGTTCCTCATATTTTGGTAGAAAAACATATGTAAGTAAGCTCTAAATTATCTTTCGTTTTAAAATTTAGAGCAGACTTTTACTAAAAAAAAAAATACAGACAGATTCTGAAAGCACCCCAAATAAAAAGTGCATCTTTTTGCAATATAATAAAGCAAATTGATGCTTCTCTGTCTACGTTACAAAACAGAGTAATGAGTTGGAATCGAAATAACTTTTCAATTAATAATATAAAGATTCCTTTATTAAAGAAACGGCATAACAAAAATATTAAAATTAAGTGTTGCGTACTAAAAGGGAACGGGACCCACAGCCTAGAACTTATTTTGATGGAAAAGGGAGCAACAAAGTTTAGCAACAAATACATCAGAACCTGGAAAGTTGGCTTTGGTACAAAAAGTAATAGTGTAATACCAAGTGCCTTTAAATAACAATTATTTTATGAGTAGTTGGAAGTAAAAGTATATGTTCCATTCTCTTCTATATTATTTTTTAGAGGAATTTAAAAGCTTAATTTTGAACTCACACCAAATAAAATTGTCTCTCATAAATAAAGAATATACGTGGTTTATAAAAAATAAATAAATAAATTTAAGAGCATGCAACTTTTAGAATCAATTATCCACTGAAAATTGCACGATGCTCGATCTGATTTGTGACCCACCTACGTACTCCTTTTCAAAAGCCGCAAAAAGTCAAGCCTAGATCACTTATTTGGAGGCATCCCAAGTCACATGATAGATGCACACAATATCTCTATCTGAATGCAACAAACCAAATCAGGGCATGTGAGAAATCGTTGTAAAATTTTATCTTCTTTCTCCTCACCAAACGTATGTTCAAAGAATCAAAGTGTAAAACTTGGCTAAAAGGGACATATTCCCCTTTAAACTTGCCTAACATATCCGAAAGGAAAGATTGGCCCCAAGACTAACACCTAGGCTTTGGAATTAACCACGTACCCGCTAGGATATTGAAAATCTAGATCAACTCCTAACATTCAGTTATGGCTAGCATTTGAATAAGGTGAGCTAGAAGAACCAACCAATGGCAGATCCAAATAGCACAGCATAGCATATCATACTTGTATATACTATACAACTTATCTAAACAAAGAACCAATACGTTTCTTAATTTTATGATTATCTTCTTAGCTATATCTGTTTCCATCAAACATATCCATTTCTTTAAAGCTTCGTCGATACATTTCCTTTTGGACCTTTGTAAATAATATGTATACAAAAAAGAGAATGCACCATTGCATTAAACCATTGACGACTCAAAGCAAACTTAACATACGATATGCCTTTAATCTTGTTCTCGAGTTTTTTTTAGGGAACCTATGATCAGGAAAGAGAAAAAGCAACAGTTTTTAGCTAGTAAAATCTTTGAGCTATCTTTACTTTTGAAATTTAAAATACGAGTAGAATTTCACTAGTACAAGCTTCTTTATATTATGCATATATTATGCAAGTACATGCATTCCCTTTCCACTACCTTTTGACACTTTGCAAGCGATCTATCTGGATTGGGCCCACGTTGTAGACATTTTAGCACTGCGTGATGATGACGTAGACTAACGTTGATGGATACAAAATACTCATCCCTAAGTTTTCTACAGCACAGTACCCTTAAACGCTTTCCACTTTTCTCCTTTTCTCTATTTTCTTTAAAATTAGTAAGTTACTTTATACTCCACCTACCTTTATAGTTTTTGTCGTGTACCACATGTATTTTATTTTTTTGCCACGGTTTATGATTGTACTAACTAATAAGCACTTTTTGCTTTATCACCCTATGCATATAAAAAAGCACTTCCATATTATTTCCTCCTCAACGCCAACCAAAAACTTCTCCATTAAGAATAACACCCCTCTCTCTCTCTCTCTCTCTTTTGTGAGATGGCCGAAGTGCGAAGAGGCCAAGATAATCAAGGGATTAAGCTCTTTGGCGCAACGATTACGTTGCATGATGGGGAAGTAAACGAGGGAAAAAAGGGAAGCGAAGATCAGACGGCTGAGAAGAGGCCAGAGAAGATCATACCTTGCCCGAGATGCAAGAGCATGGAAACCAAGTTCTGCTACTTCAATAACTATAACGTTAATCAGCCAAGGCATTTCTGCAAGGGCTGCCAGAGGTACTGGACGGCCGGTGGGGCCCTCCGCAACGTCCCAGTAGGGGCCGGCCGGCGGAAGGCCAAGCCACCGTGCCATGGTGCCGATGGATTTCCGGACGGTTGCTTCTATGAAACTTCCGATGATGTCCACAGTTTTGGGTTGGAGAAGGGGTTGGTTTTGGATGAGTGGAACCTTCTCATGCCTCAGAGTGGTTCCCGGCAGCTTTTTCCGGCAAAGCGGCGGAGGACAACCTCAGGTGGTTAGTCTTTTTATCTTTTATTTTCTGTATATGAGAACCTTTTTTTCCCTCTTTTTTTTTACTGAAGTCTCCTTTTATCTTATTCTCAATAAAACTTAACGTTAATAAGTTTAATTAATCTAAAACACACATTAAAAAAACAAGGATTTAAAGAATTTCGCCAAGTGATGATTAATATGCTATTAAGTGATTTTTGGATACCATGACTGGATAAAGATTTTAACTTCAACCCTTACAGCCAAAGTATTATTATTTGCATTATATCTAATATAGCTTTGCTAGAATGACACTTTACTACTTAAGCAACGTCAATAGAATTTTTCAGGAAAAACTGCAATTAGGTCTCCAATTGTCTGCAGATGATATGAACTATTGCTTGCTCAACCACCAATTATTGGAATTTTTTATTTTTTATTTTTGGGATTGGGTTTTGAACCGTCAATCTTGGGCATATTCTCTTGTTTTTCTTTTTTTTTTGGCAGTCCGAAATATCCTAAGCGAATTGTTTGTTTCTGCAGCTCAGCATCAAGGTCAGTAAACCCCTTTTTCCACGAAAGCACATAATTTGGAATTAAACGTATGAACAAGAGTAGACTTCAACAAACGATGGACCATAACATATCCGATGTTAAGATGTAACACCGAAAAAAAAATGCCGCAGCAAATCAGACATGATGTTCAACTATAAGGAGACGTGACGGTTCAGATTAACTAGTTCTTGTCTTGATGGTCAAGTTCATATACAGCTTTTAAGGAATGAATGGATTGCAGATAATTAATTCAAATTAATGGATTACATATTAGCTGTGATATGATGGAGATCTACGGAAGCTATACCAATCGATGTATGCAGATATAGATGGAATGGTCAATGGACAAAGAGAGATAAGATTGAAAATTTAAACACTAAAGCCGGAGGTTGATTGATCTTTTGTCTTTATTTTTTTAAAATAAAATTATTATTTTGCCCCTCTTCAAAAATCATATATCAATTTGAGTTATTAACAGACATTTAGTAGAGTAATTGGGTCAATTACTCGAGTAAACAAGGACAATAAGCAACTCAGCAACCGAAATTTAGATGCATGAATATTTTTATTCAAACCAAGTTTTTATATCTTGTACATGTATTAATGAACTTGTGATAGGTATTTGCGGGTCCAAAATGATTGAGGACGTTCTCATGCAATTCTTTAAACCCCAAAGTGATGTAAATTTCAGAATGATATAACTTCTGTCTCAGTTGTCCAAGTTCGGGAGTGACAAGTAAATGAGCATAAATCTTTAAAAGCAATGACACATGAACATAAATGCATACGTACAACTTAGTTTAATAAACTTAGTTTAGGGTATAAAAAGTTTGAATAAAGATTTTTCTCAATTATTTTGAACTCACAAACTCATATATGTGGTGACTGCCCTCAATTATTTTGACACCTTGAAATGAATGAGGATTATCTCAATTGCAACAGACCCACAAGCACTCATCCCAACTCCATTTATATATGTAAAAAACATTAGAACTTGGTTTGAATTAAAAATATTTGTGGATCCAAATTCCAATTGCCCACTTGCCTAAGTTACTCGAGTAATTGGTCCAATTACTAGAGTAAATCATTTGCTCGAGTAACTGACCCAGTTACTTGAGTAAAATCGCAATTAACATGGTCAAAAAGGGACAAATTCATGTATAATTTTGATATAAAGTTTAAATTAATAGATAGATTAAAAAGGAGAGCAAAGTGATAAAAAAAAAATTGATATAAGGACACAATGGTCAATCACCCAAAGTTCGAAGATTTGAAATATTTGAATGCAAAGTGAAGTTGAGTGTTTAACTTAATTATTCCTTTTTCTCTCTGCTTTAACAATTAAGGGGTAGACCCCAGTTTTCTCTAGAGGCCGGCTAATCAACCGTACCAAATCAATATTAAATAAAAAAATTCAAATTCAGTGGAACGAAACAAAGATTCCTATTTTATGCTTTATAATTACGTAGTTAAGGTTGATTTTTTAAAAAAATAAAAATAAAATTCAACAACCACTTTTTCCCTAAAATACATCTGTAAACTATAAGCTCACCTATCGACATCTTAGAGATTAATTAACTTTGGTTGCGTCTAGATAGGCCTCTTCATTTTGGTTTATTTAAATTACTACTGATACAGAAAGCATATGCTTACTTAATAATGTTTTATCTGATTAGATGCTTGGGTTTATAAAATTAGCGCCGTCATTTTCAAAAATGGTGTTTTTCCCATTTGATTCTGAAATAAAATTCCTTTGTCAAATAATCAAGGACGGAAGATTATTGATATAATAAACTGTTTGAAACGAATTATGATGTTGTTAATTTTAGGTTCACTCAACATTACAGAGAATCATCCTCGCTCTTTTTTTTTTTCCTTTTGTCACATCATATGTGCTGTGAGACATTAAACATATGCTAAATAAGCATCAAACTACTATGATGAACAAAGATTGGTATATAATTGAAAATTGTTCGCTGAAAAGTTTTAGATTTGGTTTTTGTTTATGGCACTTTATTAGGACGTCATTTGGGACTAAGACAAGTTCTTTTTCTCTTAAAAACTTATCCATTAAAAAATAGTGAATTACACATTACTCCCTGCAGTTTAGCATATTTTTATTTTTCATGCAAAAAAATATTTTTTAACACAACCCCCTATACTATAATAAAAGTAATTATATTTTTTTCTTGTCAAATTAATTAATTTAACAATGACAGTCTGCATAGAAAATGTCACTCTAGAATTAAATATAAATATAAAATTACACATTTTTTTATCATAACATAGAAAAATTATGTGTTACGAAAAATAAAAACTTGCTAAATAACGTGAAGATAAAGCATAATTTGTCCACACACAAAAAAATCTAAATATTATTATAGAGTTATTACTATCAGAAACAAAACTCACCACCATAAAATCACCAAACCCAAATCGTGGAAACAAATCAATGAGCAAATTTTGGGCACGCCCAAATATGCATCGAACAATTGCAGTCAAGAGAGATAAATGATTATTTGTCCATGTGTCGTAACTTCAATTTCCTTTTTTATTATTAGAAGAATCATATATGGCATCAATTTCTTATTTGAAAGGATGTGAAATGATGACAGGTGCCGTAGATTCACACACAAAATGGCACTTTGAGTCTCCATGTTATTAAAATAAAGCTTCATACGCAATACATGTGTGCACATCCACTTCATAACGATGTATTTTAATGAAAAGGAATAGGCAATATTCTAATATGTTATTAGACATTCCAAAGACAATCACAGGAGAATGGAATAAGCAATCTAATTTGTTATTTGAAGAAAATGCAATTCGGCAATCATATTGGACAACAGGACTGGCCGTTCTTATATATCACTCACCCAACTAAAGAGATAAAAATAAAAGAAGAAGAAAATGAGAGTACGTAATTTAATACTAGCCAAAGGATCCTTATTTGAGAGACCTTCAAGTCTAGAAATTAATACTCCCAGTAACGTACAAGCTTATATTATTAATTCTCAGGTCTTGATCCTAATAAAGGAAGAAAGGAATAAGATTGAGCCTTCCATCAGGCGTTGAATGGTTTAGTTTATATGAGGCTGCCATCTTCGTTCATTCCAAGCTCCTTGAGGAGATTACCGCAGCTAGGAAGACGCTCCTTCTTAAGGAAACCAAGAGGGTTCGCCTTGCGAACAGGGGATACAATTCCAGCATTGTTTGTGATGCTAATCCTTGCAGCTTGTTCCAGGTGAGATTCACGGTCAACCTCTGAACAATCTTTCCTTGGACTTTTCACAAGTACAACCTCGCACACCTCTTCTTCATGGTCTCCATCCACCTCCACTTTGTACGAACCTGAAGCATCTGTCACAGCCTCTTTGGTGAATGTCACATTGCCACTTTCTTCCTCTTTGCACTCCACGCGTACGGTTGCACCTTCATTATTATATGGTACCATATATTTTAAACTCACATTCTTAATCATTAAAATTGCATGTTATGTGACACATATAAAAAAAAAATTACTTTAAATTTGTTTGCGTATGAAACATGTACCTTCGAGTAACTCAGACAGCTTGGTGAGGAACTGAATGCGACATGTGTCACAGTACACTACGCCCTCCACAAAGAAGCGCTCTTTGCAATGAACCGAACCAAAGAAGGATAAGAAGCAAAGAGCTGAGACAAGGATGATTGTAGACTTTGCCATTGTGAATTCTGCTAGCTTGATATGTTGTTGGTTTGAATGGGGATTCGATTCGGAGGAAGATTGCGTTTTATACAAGAAATGGTTCAAATTAACTTCGTAGAGTTTGTTTATTTTGTGAGGTTCTCATTTGTCCCTTGTTTGTTGATGGTTGATGTTGTTGTTTTGACCCGCTTTTTACTCTCATTGTATCTCAGCTAATTAACCATTTTATATTGTCCATTTCCATGGGCCACAAGCGACTTTGTTAGTAGTTATAATTAGAGTTTGAGATGAACTGTTAGGCAATCAGAACCGGAAAACATAGATATATAAATAGTCAAGAAGACCAGCTAAATAGGCGAAGGATAAGGGTCACCATACCTTAGTCTAATGAACAACACTGACCATTGCCTAATACATGCATGCATGTATGAGTCATAATTTCTAAGGCTTTTTGACCCTTATGCCCCTTAATTAATAATTAATTACCAAATTGCCCCTCATTCAAAACTATTTCGAAAATTTACCCTCCCCAACAAACATAACACCAATCTGCCCCTGTTTGACCGTTGACCACGAAGCCTACCCGGGTACACCATTATCTACCCGGGTAAATTTTGAAACTTTTTATCTACCCGAGTATGTAGGGATGTACCCGGGTAGAGTTCTTGAATCTGGGAAAATGTATGAATTATTTACCCGGGTACGTAGAAGTGTACCCGGGTAAATCGCGACGGTAGGGTTTTAAAATACCCCAGCAGCCCCATTCGAAAACCCACAAAAGGGGTACCCGAGTAGAGCTGCTGGAGGAGTGTCATCTTGAGCGATTTGAGGCATAATCTTGCACTAATTCGTCTTGTTTGTGATCATCATTCGCGGACCTTGCAACCTCTCTGCCTTCTACCGATTGAAATCGATCAAAGGTGCATTTTTTTTTTCAGTTTTTTCAATTATGTTATGATTTCTGTTCTGATTCATTGTTTTCGTTTATATCATTTGATTCTGTCCGAATTATTTTATCAATTTGTATGTCATACGCTTACCCTAACCCTGAATCTAACCCTAACCCTAACCCTAACCCTAACCCTAACCCTAACATGTATCTAATTTCTGATTTTGGTTATTTTTTCAGTTTAATAGTGTGACACAATGACCTCTCGACGCGTTTCAAAGCTGCCAGTGACCCATTCCGAGAGAAGAACCAAGAGTCGTCACGATGGGTCGTCATCCTCTCAGCCCCAGGCTGCTTCGAGTCAGGCTCCGGACTTGACGTTCGGATATTTGTTTGAGGATGACATTCCTTCACACGAGAAGTTCGTGAAGTTTTTCATGACCCGGAAGATCTGCGAACCGAAATCACTGGATTCGGCATTCTTCAACCTAGAGCGTTTTGACATCGTGCCGCTTCTTGAGCAGACACATTTACTTCACCTGGCGGAGATGCGGTGCCCATACTCGGAGGTTATGGTAAGAGCCTTCTACCAGAACCTTGGCTACTCGCAAGGCGAGCTGACTTCCCGTGTATGCGGGATTGATATCATCATGACTGCTCCTATCTGGACGGAGCTACTGGGGTTCGATTTTGATGGTGTCTCAGGAGCAGCACTATATGATGGAGACAGCCATCATATATTTGGTGATTATAACCGGGAGACCATTGTTACAGAGACTAGGAGGGCAGACGCTGAGCCCGGTCATTTTGCTCATTATCCTGTTAGCAACTTGTCAGTTTCTGCTCGCATTCTTCATTATGTGGTGACACATATTATTTTCCAGCGCCCGCATAATCACTCAAAGGTGCTGGAAGGGGACTTTGTCATCCTGTGGGCCCTCCTTCACAGTCAGCAGGTGAACTGGAGGCATTACATATGCATACTGATGTGGAAGGCAGCCAAGTCAAAGAAGGCTGAATTGCCTTTTGCATTTCTGGTGCAGAAGATTCTGCATAGATTTGGAGTGCCTATGGCAACAGAGACCTTGAAGACCGCCAGAGGCTGGAATGCTATATTTGGTGAGAGGCTCCTGAAGCAGTGTGGGATCCTACCGAACAGAGCGGGTATCTGGACGTGGAAGAAGGCACCAGAACCACCTGAGATCCCATTCCACCACGATGCTGAGATGGAGGATGCACCTGCAGGTGATGTGTTGGTCTTTATGAGTTTATGCAATTATGTGTTGTTTAATTTTTAATGTGGTATTGAAGTTTGTTTTTCATGGTTTATGATGTAGGCCTTGATGATGATGACGATGATGATGGCGTTGCTGAGGTTGATGTCAGACCGACACGTCCCACCCGCAGTCGGCGACCACCAGCTCCTCCTGAGGGTGGATGGACACTTGATCATGTCATGGCATCCTTATATGATCTGACTACTGACTTTAGAGGATATAGACAGAGCACGAGCAAGTGGCGAAACCAGATGGACACAAGGGTTGCACGGTTGGACACAAGGGTTTCACGCTTGGAGGGTTTAATTGGCGAGGGTGCCCATACTCAAGAGGAGGAGGAGGAGGAGGATGATGACAATGGGGATGACACACAATCGGATGAAGAGAATGGGGAGGACACGGCATCGGATTAGTGTGTCCATAGGGTTTCATATCATTGATTTAGTTTGATGTAATGTAGTCATTTTGGTACATTTAGGAACTTTACCTACATTGCATGGATGTTTTTGTACTGGATGTTCAAAATTTGAATGAATGAAATTTTCGTTTTGCGCACGTTCAGACTTGTTGGTTCTATGCATTAGTATGGGACCTTGCATTAATATTGTCATAATTAATTTGGAAATCAATTCAACCCAAAGTAGTTTATTATTCATTTTCAACTTTGATTGGCGCACATCTTGATTACTGCATCCTATTTCTACGAAATCAATCCACCCCCAAGTCATACCGTATGTAGGTATTGCACAACAATTACCAAAATGCAACAAAAATTGCCAAAACAGCATCTGCAACAGCATCTGCAACTGGTCTACCCGGGTACCACGAATAGTCTACCCGGGTAAGATGTACTCGGGTATATCATTACGAGTTACCCGGGTAGACCAGTTGCAGATGCAGCAGCAGGTGCTGTTCAATCCATTTTGTTAGCATCTTGGTAATTGATGTGTAATACAATAACCTTAACTGACTCGGGGAAGGGGTAAATGGGTATGGTAGACATTCGGATTGTACAATACGGAACGAGTGACTCGCTAAACTTAACGGATACATTTCAACAATACATTTCAACAACACAAGAATACAGTTCAACAATACATTTCAACAACACAATACATAACTAATACAAGATAAAGTTTAGGGTACAAGGAAACAAAACAATACGTAAAGTGATTGTCATTACAAAACAAAGTACTACACAAAAACAATACGTAATCATGCTTGTCTTAGTCTCAATGGACATGTACGAATGTTATGTCCAACTTGCTTGCAATGCTTACATCTGCTCTGACTGCTAGAGGGTTGAGACTCAACCCAATCCATCTCATTCTGAATCCTTGAAGACTTTGGTCTTCCTTTTGCACGTACCAACTGAGCATCCGGAATTACAGTAGGCCCAACAACGGATGGAATCAACAATTCATTGCCAATAGGAAACCAGTGTGCAGCATATACTTTAGCAATGGTTGGAATTTTGAAAACATGATCCACATAATCATAATGGTTTAGCTTGGCTACCTTGCAAACTGCTAATACATGACTGCAGGGATACCTCCTTGCTGTAAACCTACCACACTGACATGTACGATTGATTAAGTCCACTCTCATGATGTCACCGACCTCGTGTGTAGATTGATTGTAGGCATCCTCAACCTCAAACAATAACAGGTCACTATCATATATCCTCACACGATAAGTGCCAGCCAATTCATCATTTTTTTGCAACGCTGCCTCAACCTTCTTTGAAATTATCCAACCTTGTGAGATATCTTTTTCAATCCCTTCACGTCTCTTGACGAAATACTCAACGAGTCTACTGAATGTCATCTTGACCAATGCAGATATAGGCAGATTTCGTGCTCCACGAAGCACCTTATTCACACACTCAGATAGGTTAGTTGTCATATGACCAAACCTACGTCCTGTCTCATCATACGACCTGCACCATTGCTCTTTCGGAATCGCATCCAACCATGAAGCAACTTCAGGATTGTTCTCGATAAATTCCTTGTACCTAATGTCGAAATTTATCTTTGAACATGTGTACCCTGCAAAAAACCATGACATATGCTTAGGTTAGTGAATTTCACCACCGTTTTCTTCAAATGGTTGAAAATGTGAGTAATTATACCGTACATTACCTAATTTCATCAACGTTTT